CGAGACTCTCCTCTGGCACCACCGCCTTGGTCACCCCTCCCTGCTTCGTCTCCGAAGCATGGCCTCCCGTGTCCTTGTCTCTGGTCTTCCCCGGTCCCTCCCTCCCCTTCCTCCGGGGCCTGGCCCTACCTGCGTCCCCTGTGTCGAGGGGCGGCAGCGGGCTGCCCCTCACTCCTCCCAGTTTCCTCCGACAGAGGCCCCGCTGCAGACGCTTCACATGGACGTGTGGGGCCCGGCCCGCGTCCGTGGACAGGGTCACGAGCGCTACTTCCTGCTGGTGGTTGACGACTACTCGCGTTACACCACAGTCTTCCCCTTGCGCAGCAAGGGTGATGTCACTGAGGTGTTGATCGACTGGATCCGCGCAGCTCGTCTCCAGCTCAGGCAGAGCTTCGGCTCGGACTTTCCTGTTCAGCGTCTGCACTCTGACAGAGGTGGAGAGTTCTCCTCTGGCCTTCTGCGAGCCTACTGTCGTGCACGAGGCATCCGCCAGACCTTCACGCTTCCGGACTCTCCACAGCAAAATGGGATTGCTGAGCGCCGCATTGGCATGGTCATGGACGTCGCCCGTACGTCCATGATGCATGCGGCTGCCCCCCATTTTCTGTGGCCGTTTGCGGTTCGGTACGCGGCGCATCAGATCAACCTTCACCCCAGGGTCTCCATGCCGGAGACCTCCCCAGCTTTGCAGTGGACGGGGAAGGTTGGCGATGCGTCTGCGTTCCGTGTCTGGGGATCTCGGGCGTTTGTCCGCGACTTGTCTGCGGACAAGCTGTCCCCTCGTGCTGCTCCTTGCGTCTTCCTTGGCTTCCCCCCTGACGCGCCAGGGTGGCAGTTCTACCACCCCACCTCTCGCCGTGTCCTGTCCTCCCAGGACGTCACGTTTGACGAGTCGGTCCCCTACTACCGCCTCTTCCCCTACCGCACTCCGTCCCTCCCCCCGCCACCGCTCTTCCTTGTCCCAGGTCCCCCCCCGGTAGACCCCCTCCCCCCTCTGGGTCCTGCCCCTTCAGGTGTGTCCCAGGTAGACGCAGTCGAGCCTGTCGAGGTTACTGGTGACTCGGGGGCTGAGCCTGAGGGTGCTGAGCCTGGGGGTGCTACTACTGGGGGTGCTGAGCCTGGGGGTGCTGAGCCTGGGAGTGCTACGCCTGGGGGTGCTACGCCTGGAGGTGCTGAGCCTGGGGGTGCGGAGCCTGAGGGAGCTGGGCCTGCTCGTGTGGCGTCTGGCGGTGCTGAGCCTGGAGGTTCTCTGGGTGCTTCGTCTCGGCGGGAGCCACTCTCTCCACAGGAGCTGCGCGAGTGGTTTGCCCGGCGCTGGAGGCGTGCTGCTGGAGCTGGAGGTTCTTCGGCTGCTGAGGGTGCTGGTGCCGCGGGTCCCAGAGGTGCTCGTACTGGGAGTACTGGAGCTGCTGGGCCTGCGGGTACGACTGGAGCTGGAGCTGCTGAGGGTGTTGGCGCTGAGGCTACTGCTGTCGGTCCTGGAGGCGGTCCTGCTGGGGGTGCTGGAGCTGGAGGTACTGCTGGCGCTGGTGCTGCCGCTGGGGGTACTGGTGCTGTCCCTGCTGTGTCTGGAGTCGCCACACGGCCTAGGCCGTACTTCGTTCCGCTCCTTCAGCAGGTTCTTGGTCTCCCGCCTTCTACTGGTCCTCCTCCTCCCTTAGAGTGTCCACAGCCTGTCCCGTCACAGTTACAGTTACAGCCGGCCTCCCCACTGCCCGCTCCTTCTCCCTACACTGGTCCTACTGGAGGTCTTGCTGAGCGTCGTGAGCCTGCGTCTCGCCCTGCGTCGCCTGTCCGTGCTGCTCGCACTAGTGCTCGTGGTTCGCGTCAGCGTCCTCCTCCTGTCCCTGGCACGCACCGGATGTCTCTGCGTCCGTCCACTGCTCCTCTGCGTGCCCCTTTGCCTTCTCCTCCTGAGTCCTCTCTTCCTGCTCTTCCTGACCCGGAGTCGGACTCTCTTCGTGCTGCCAGTCCTACTGTCACGCGTCTCCTTGCTACTGTTGTCACTGACCCTTCCTTTGAGTCCACTGCTGCGTCTGCCCTAGTTACTGAGCTCGTCGACTTTGCTGCTCACTGTCTTCTAGACTACGCTGCTAGTCTTGTTGCTGAGTCTGAGTCTGTCTGTCCTCCGTCCGTCGGGGGTGAGTGTGCCCTTGGCACGGACGTCCTTGAGGACAGGCAGGAGGAGTTCCAGTGTTTGGCTGCTGCTTCACCTCATCTCGTGTCCGTACTGCTTACCCCTGAGGGAGACCCGGATGCACTTGACATCCCGACTCCGCGCTCTTACGCGGAGGCGATAGAGGGTCCCTACTCCTCTCAGTGGCAGGCAGCTATGGACGCAGAGATGGCTTCCTGGAAGTCCACAGGCACCTACGTTGACGAGGTTCCCCCGCCTGGGGCGAACATCGTCAGTGGCATGTGGATTTTCAGGGTGAAGCGGCCGCCGGGTTCTCCGCCTGTCTTCAAGGCGCGTTACGTGGCTCGTGGCTTCAGACAGCGGCAGGGAGTTGACTACTTTCAGACCTTCTCTCCCACCCCGAAGATGACCACTCTTCGGGTACTGCTGCACATAGCTGCTCACCGCGACTACGAGCTGCACTCTCTTGACTTCAGCACTGCTTTCTTGCAGGGCAGCCTGCACGAGGAGATCTGGCTGCGTCGCCCACCTGGCTTCACTGGGTCTTTTCCTCCTGGCACCCAGTGGAGCCTCCGGCGGCCAGTCTACGGTCTCCGCCAGGCACCGCGTGAGTGGCACGACACACTGAGGACTACACTTGCGGCTCTTGGGTTTGCTCCCTCTACTGCCGACCCGTCGCTGTTTCTGCGCACCGACACTTCTTTGCAGCCGTTCTACATCCTCGTGTACGTCGACGACTTGGTCTTTGCCACAGCTGACACTGCTGGACTCGCCCACGTGAAGTCCGAGCTGCAGAAGAGACACACGTGCACAGACCTGGGTGAACTGCGCAGCTACCTTGGCTTGCAGATCACCCGGGACAGAGCACGCCGCACCATTACCCTGACTCAGTCACACATGGTGCAGCAGGTCCTTCAGCGCTTCGGCTTCACGTACTCCTCGCCTCAGGCCACTCCTCTGCCTACTCGCCACTTGCTCTCAGCTCTGCCTTCGGATGAGTCCGTAGAGTCGAGTGGCCCGTACCCAGAGCTTGTTGGCTGCCTCATGTACCTGATGACCTGCACACGACCTGACCTTGCATACCCTCTTAGCATTCTCGCACGCTATGTTGCTCCTGGGAGACACAGACCGGAGCACATGGCTGCAGCGAAGAGGGTGTTGCGCTACTTTTGCAGTACGTCGGGCATGGGGCTTGTGCTTGGAGGGCAAAGTCCAGTGGTCCTCACTGGGCACGCAGACGCTTCTTGGGCTGACGACCAGGCTACGCAGCGGTCGTCACAGGGTTACACCTTCAGCCTTGGTTCCGGCTCTGTTTCGTGGCGGGCTACCCGCTCGTCTTCTGTTCTCGGCTCCAGTTGTGAGGCTGAGATCTACGCCGGGGCCATGGCTGCACAGGAGCTTCGCTGGCTCACCTACCTGCTGACTGACCTCGGAGAGCCGCCTCGTTCTCCTCCAGTGCTGTACGTAGACAACAAGGCCATGCTGGCCTTGTGTCGAGAGCAGAGACTGGAGCACAGAACGAAGCACATTGCTCTCCGCTACTTCCTTGCTCGTGAGCTACAGCAGCGTGGTCAGCTGCGGCTTGCGTACGTGGCCTCTCAGGCCAACACTGCTGATATCTTCACCAAGGCACTTGCGCCTTGTGATCATCAGCGCTTCTGTACTCAGCTGGGTCTTGTGCCTACCTTGCCTCACTTGCTCACCCCTTGACCTTGTTTGTACTGTTGCATATATATATACACCTGCTCTTGCTTGTCTAGCCTTATATATATATGTAATCCTGCATGTGAACTGGCCTTGTGGCCTTGAACTTGTGCTCGGAATGTGTGGTGACTTTGTGATCCACCCTGAGCTTGCTTTGCTTTGCTTGACTGGTCTTGTGACCCCTTGTTCTCCCCCAATTTGCCTATGGGGGTGTGTCAGAGTTATATGACATAGCTACTGTAGGCTATAGTGGGGTAGCACATATGGGGTACAGTTGCCTAGGGTTTGCCTTTTGTACCCAACTTTCACTTAGTCATTTCATTCCTGTTTTCTTGATTCACATGCGCTAGTGTGTGAGGGCAAGTTAGATTGATTAAAGCAAGAAGATACAAGGTTTTATAAGAGTACAAGGAATATGAAAAGATGCAGCTTAATAACCGTTTTACTGTTGCTGTTGCGGTTCGATACAGTGACGACTCAGGCAACTGCTCAATAACGAGTCAGTTGTTTGTCCTTGCTGTCGCGCTGTACTTGTCAAGTCAAAGGTCGCTGACCTTTGACCTTCGCGTAACCTCCAGCAGTTACTTCTCTTGTCAACCTCTGATGGTTGACTCGCCGTTGTTCCTCTATAGTTCGCCTCGTTTGTAGTTCGGCGTTACGACACATAAGAAGCGTTTAATTAATTGTTTCCAACATTACCATGCGTCACATCAACCTCACAACACTCGGAAACCTTCAAGCTTCAACTGCCGTGCCCCAGGACAAAAGTTTTGACCCAGGGTTTGTTACACATTCGTGACGATAATGATATTGTTTTGCAGCCCACCAAATCATCTTGCCTAAACCACGGTATAGTGGAAGCGTGGAGCAACTTAAGAAAGTGGTTTTTGTCTGAATAAAATGGGACAAAGCTAGTACAAGTTTATTATACAAATGACGCAGGTTTTAGTTGGGGACTTAGGAAGTGGTAGAGTGTGGCAGAAACAAAATGGGTTGTAGTTGTACCTAGTTTCAAGTATATCCGTTATAGTGGTGGCATGAGCATCAGGTACTTGTTTGTACGTCCCGCCAGCAGCGAGTCCATCACTCGCGAAGCTTCTGCCATCACTGCCTCGTCCTTCTCCTTTTCTCTGATCGTTCGTCGTCGCACCTCGCCGCCATGGCTAACGAATATGGGCCTCTGTCCATTATCATCTCTGCCACGTCAGCCGTCGCATCCGCCACGTCACCTCTCCGCCAGTTCATCTGGTCGGCTGTGCGCCTTCAGCTTTTCCTCGCCTCCACCTGCCTTTCCGCCATCTGCGCGCTTCCACTGCTACCCTTCCGCCTGCTCTCCGCCGCCCTTCGCGAGAACAAGGTGCGCGCAGGGGGGCGTGCCGGATGGCAAAGGCAGGTCGGATTTCGCAGCAAGAACGCGCGCAGTAAGGCGGCGGGGAGCTTGCGGGTTCCCTTTTCCCCAGATCCGTCCTCACCACACTCGACCTTGCCTCTCGCTTCTCCTCGTCGCACTCCACGTGCAGCCAGCCCGGTGTGCCGCCCGCCGCATGGGCACATGAGCGGTCGTTACAACCTGTTCGCCCCCTTGCCTCGCCGTGCAGATCTCCCCGTCCCCGCGCCTTCCCTTCACCTCATCCCCTCCGCTGACCCCCATCCCTCTTCGCCTCTTCTCCATCCGCCCTCCTCGCCAAGACGCGTCGCACGAGTCTTGCTACCGCCTTCGCCTTCGCCTTCGCCTTCGCCTTCGCCTTCGCCTTCGCCTCCAACTTTTCTCTCCCGCCCTCCCTGCCCCCCGTTCTCCCCCCGCCCCCCTTCTCCTCGTGCCCTCCCCTTCCCCCCCAGATGCGCGCAAGCCTAGCGGAGGCGCAGCAGCAGGGCGGGTACTGGCGCGAGGCGGCGGCGGCGCTGCAGCAGCGCGCGAAGCGGGAGGAGGCGGCGAGGGAGGCGAGCGAGGCGGCGGCGCGCGAGGCGGCGACGCGGCTGAGGAAGGCGCTATCGCAGCGCGCGCAGCTTAAGGAGTGCCTCCAGCGCGCCGTGCGCGAGGTGCGCGGAAAGGAGGGGGGAATGTGGGTGGAGAGATGGAAGCGGGGAGGTGGGGGTGGTGGGGGTTTGGGGAAGGTGTTGGCGCCGGGGCTAGGGTGAGGAGTGGTGTAGTGCAGCGCGCAGGGGTGGGAGGGTGGAAGTCGGAGTGAGTGGGGAGATATGGGCGAGAGAGAGAGTCGACATGCCACGTGGGGGACTGCCTCTCCACACTCTCCCCTCCTTCACTCGCCCCCCGCCTCATCCGTCTTCTCCATCTCTTCTACTCCTTTGTTTATTCGCCCCTCTCGCCCTCGCTATGCCCAATTGCTCCCTTCCCTTTGTGTTTTTTCTTCATGCAACACCATCCCGTCGTGCCGTCCTAATTGCACCCCAACACCCCCTTCCGCGGGGCACATCAGCTGGGCGAGGAGGCGGCGGCGCGGCAGGAGGCAGAGAGGGCGCTGGCGAGGGAGCGCCACCGCGGTGCGCGCCTGCATGCCGACCTGCACGCCTCGAAATCGCGCTGCTCTCAGCTCCAGGCTGACCTGGCGGCTGCCAGCCTGGCACTCGGGCGGCTGAGGGAAGAGCTGGCGGCGGCGACTCAGCGGCTGACGGCGTGCCAGGTGGCAGCGGAGGAGGCAGCAGCCATGGAGGAGAGGCGAGGGGGGTTGAATGGGGGGGAGGCGGTGTGGGGTGGCGGGGGGGGCGATGAGCAGGATGCGAGCAGGGGCAGGGAGGGGAGAGGGCAGAGGGGAAGGCGTGGGCGTGGGGGTCAAGTGGGGGGGACGACGAGGGTGTTTCAGGGGCGGGGAGAGGAGGTGTGGCAGGGTGAGGAGGAGGGTGAGGGAAGTGAGGGAACTACGTCTGCATGCACCACCACCTCCTCCGGTTCACACGCCCCCACTGCCACGCCACCCCCCTCACATCGCTCCTCCTCGCCTGCTCTCCCCCCATCACAACACCCCCAGCCCCACGCGCTGGCCCTCGCCACGGAGCCCCTGTTGTGGCGGGCAGCCCTCAAGTCCACTGCGGCTGCACTGCTGCTCGCCACGCTGCTGGCGCTGCTCGCCTGCATGCAGCCGCATTGCTGCCCGCCCGCCCTCCTCACGCTGCTCGCCCTCACTGCCCTCGCTGCGCTGCTCTCCGCACTCGCCCTCGCCCTCGCCATGCCCTCCCGCCGCCCCTCTGCCTCGCCCGCTCTCTCCCCCACCTCCTACCGCGCTCGCATGGTGGCAGAAGCAGCGGTGGCAGCGGTGCCGCTCCTCTGCACCTGCTGGTTCGCCCTCGGCCTCCTCCTGCACTCCATGCCCCCCTGGCCTGCCGTCTCAAAGGCACTCTACTCGCATGCCCCCGCCTCGCTGGAACGTGCAGTCTCAAGTTTCTGGTTTTCTCCCTGCAGTGCTGCTCGCCCATAAGATGAGATTCAAGGCATTGGTTGGGTAGAGGCAATAAACAGCCGTTTGCCCATCAACACGCACCGCTCGTCTGTTGCCATGGCTCCGCACGGTTTGCCCTGTCCTCTCTGTACATATGCTATGACCATGGCATCACGTTCATTCTTCACCAGGTTGTGGAGACTCGGACTGGTGGTGTTGGGCTGGAAAAGGCCCTTAGGATCTTTTCGAGGCTAGGACCACGAGTAGGAATGTTGTAATTGCGGAAGCGTTCTTAGTGAACTTGTTGAACCAACTTGCACTAGTATGTGGGAACAAGAGATTGATTATACGGTAGCAAGGGAATACGAAGGCTTTTATAAGATTACAAGGAATATGAAAGGGTGTAAACTGTCAAATGTTGTAGCCTGTAGTGATGTTTGTCTTGTCAGATTTATATGACATAGCTACTGTAGGCTATAGTGGGGTAGCACATATGGGGTACAGTTTTCTAGGGTTTGCATTTGTACCCAACTTTCCCTTAGTCAATCCATTCTCGTTCAGTTTCTCATGGTATCGAGCAGGTTCCCCTGTGGGAACTGTTCCTAGGGCCCACCACCTTTTTTTTCCTGCCCGGAGCGCGCTCTACACTGCCCGAGTCGCGCTCCCCTCTCTTGACCCTGTCGCGCCGCCTTAGCGGCCCCGTCGCGTCGCGCTTGCGGCCCCGTCGCGTCGCCCTCGCGGCCCCTTCACGTCGCGCTGCCCTAGCGGCCGCGTCGCGCCGCCCTTGCGGCCCCGATCCGCCGCCCTCGCGGCTCCTTCGCGTCGCGCCGCCCTCGCGGCCCTTTCACGCCGCCCTCGCGGCCCTTTCTAGCCGCCCTCGCGGCCTCTTCAAGCCGCCCTCGCGACCCCCCCCTCCTAGCCGCCCTAGCGGCCCCGTCGCCTACCCCTGCGGCCCCGGCGCCGCCCTTCCCTGCCTCGGCGCCGCCTGTGCTGGCCCCGTCGCCTACCCCTGCGGCCCCGGAGCTGCCCTTCCCGGCCCCGGCGCCGCCTCTACTGGTCCCGACGCCGCTCCACCCGGCCCCGCCGCCGCTCCACCCGGCCCCGCCGCCGTCCCCACGCGGCCCCGCCGTCACCACCGAGCCGCCGGCGCCGCCGAGCTACTGCCGAGCCGCCCGATCCACCCGAGCCGCCCGAGCCGCCACGCCACCTGAGCCGCCCGAGCCGCCGGGTCGCCGAGCCGCCGAGCTGCAGTTGCTGCCGAGCCGCCCGAGCCGCCCGAGCCGCCGAGTTGCCGAGCCGCCGAGCCGCCGAGCCGCCCGAGCCGCCCTGTCCGGTAAGAGCAGCGCCTCTGTCACTGCACTGCCCTTACCCTACTGTTCGCGCTGCTAGTCTACTACTGTCATGGCTACCCCTAGTGTCCTCGCTTTTGACGCTGAGGGTCGGGCCATTGACTTTGACGTCTGGGTAGATGACCTGCAGCTTTTCCTACAGTGCGATAGGGCAGACGGTCTCTCCCTCTTTGACCTCACCTCTGGTGCCTCTCCTGCCCCTGCTGCTGATGCCGACGCCACTGTTCGCTCACAGTGGGCCACACGCGATGCTGCTGCACGTCTTGCTGTGCGTCGCCACCTGCCTACCTCTGAGCGTGCGCACTTTAGCCAGTACAAGAGTGCTCAGACCTTGTACGACGCTGTAGTTGCGCGCTACTCCTCCCCTGCCACTGCTGCACTGAGCCGCCTCATGCTACCGCACCTCTTCCCTGACCTTGCTGCCTTTCCCACAGTCGCTGACCTCATTATGCACCTCCGCACTAGTGACACTCGCTACCGCGCTGCGCTTCCTGCTGAATTCTGCGCCAAGAACCCCCCCCCATGTACATCACCCTCTACTACATTGTCACCCGGCTCCCTGACTCCCTTCGCGTAGTCAGGGACCACTTCCTCTCAGTTTGCCCCACCACTCTCACCGTTGACCTCCTCGAGAAGGCCCTCCTAGCAGCAGAGAAGAGCATAGTCGCTGTAGGAGCCTCTCGTGGTGACCCTCGCACCCCCGTCTTTGAGGGGTGTTCCCCCTCCCCCCTTTTGCCCTCTGTTGCCTCTGCTGCTGCGGTCGACCTCGTTGGTTTCGAGTCGGTCGGCGCTGCGTCTGCCCCGAGCGGGAGACGCCACACCGGCAAGGGCAAGGGGGGCAAGGGTGCTGGAGGGGCTGGCGGGGGTGGCGGAGGTGGCGGTGGAGGCAGTGGAAGGGGTGGGGGTGGTGGTGGTGGGAGTGGTGGCGGGGGTGGAGGTGTCGGTGGCGGCAGTGGAGGCGGAGGCGGCGGCGGCGGTGGCGGTGGGAGCGGAGGTGGCGGAGGTGGCGGCGGTGGAGGAGGCGGCGGCGGAGGAGGTGGAGCTGGTCGGGGTGGCGCTGCGCAGAGGGTCGGCTCCGGTGGTGGTCAGCGCCAGCAGCAGCAGCAGCAGCAGCGGCAGCAGCGCACTCGTGACATCCCCCCCCCTCAGCAGCTCCGTGAGTGGTACGCTGCACGCCAGCGGGGTGGGGGTACTGGTCCGTGCACCTACGTCCTACGCACCGGCGACCGCGCGGGTGAGCAGTGCGGGGGTGCGCACTCCACCCAGCGCTGCTTTGGCCGCCTGACGGACGCTTGGTGTCACCAGTTCCCTGAGGCCACTGAGATCCCCCGCTGGGGCGAGCTGTCTAGGGCGGGTGTAGCTGTCTTTGACCTTGACTTTGATGCTATTCTTGCTGCCATGTATGCTGTGACTATTAGTGATGAGGGTGACTGTTACCGGTGTTTTCCGCCCGACCCGGGCATTGAGACTGCTGCTCTAGGTACTGGTGAGGCTGCTGCTCTAGGTGCTAGCGAGGCTGCTGCTCCAGGTGCTCGTGCGTCTGCTCCCTTAGGTGCTGGTGAGTCTGCTCTCTTAGGTACTGCGTCGGCTTCGGCCTCCCACACCTTCACCCTTGACTCGGGGGCTTCTCGCTCCTTCTTTCGAGACCGCACCACACTCACGCCGCTTGGCCGGCCAGTTGCAGTCTCTCTGGCAGACCCCTCTGGGGGTCCTGTCCTTGCTCACTTCTCCACTGTCCTCCCGTGTCCGCCGGCCCCCTCTGGCACCCTGTCTGGTCTTTACCTCCCCTCGTTCTCTACGAACTTGGTGAGTGGTGCTGAGCTGCGTCGGGTCAGGTGTTTGCTGCAGCGTCCAGGTCTGGTCATGAGTCTGCCCCCTGTTCGTGTCGCCTCCTGTCTCACGAGACTCTCCTCTGGCACCACCGCCTTGGTCACCCCTCCCTGCTTCGTCTCCGAGGCATGGCCTCCCGTGTCCTTGTCTCTGGTCTTCCCCGGTCTCTCCCTCCCCTTCCTCCGGGGCCTGGCCCTACCTGCGTCCCCTGTGTCGAGGGGCGGCAGCGTACTGCCCCTCACTCCTCCCAGTTTCCTCCGACAGAGGCCCCGCTGCAGACGCTTCACATGGACGTGTGGGGCCCGGCCCGCGTCCGTGGACAGGGTCACGAGCGCTACTTCCTGCTGGTGGTTGACGACTACTCGCGTTACACCACAGTCTTCCCCTTGCGCAGCAAGGGTGATGTCACTGAGGTGTTGATCGACTGGATCCGCGCAGCTCGTCTCCAGCTCAGGCAGAGCTTCGGCTCGGACTTTCCTGTTCTGCGTCTGCACTCTGACAGAGGTGGAGAGTTCTCCTCTGGCCTTCTGCGTGCCTACTGTCGTGCACGAGGCATCCGCCAGACCTTCACGCTTCCGGACTCTCCACAGCAAAATGGGATTGCTGAGCGCCGCATTGGCATGGTCATGGACGTCGCCCGTACGTCCATGATGCATGCGGCTGCCCCCCATTTTCTGTGGCCGTTTGCGGTTCGGTACGCGGCGCATCAGATCAACCTTCAGCCCAGGGTCTCCATGCCGGAGACCTCCCCAGCTTTGCTGTGGACGGGGAAGGTTGGCGATGCGTCTGCGTTCCGTGTCTAGGGATCTCGAGCGTTTGTCCGCGACTTGTCTGCGGACAAGCTGTCCCCTCGTGCTGCCCCTTGCATCTTCCTTGGCTTCCCCCCTGACGCGCCAGGGTGGCAGTTCTACCACCCCACCTCGCGCCGTGTTCTGTCCTCCCAGGACGTCACGTTTGACGAGTCGGTCCCCTACTACCGCCTCTTCCCCTACCGCACTCCGTCCCTCCCCCCGCCACCGCTCTTCCTTGTGCCAGGTCCCCCCCCGGTAGACCCCCTCCCCCCTCAGGGTCCTGCCCCTTCAGGTGTGTCCCAGGTAGACGCAGTCGAGCCTGTCGAGGTTACTGGTGACTCTGGTGCTTCTGAGGGTGCTGAGCCTGGGGGTGCTGACTCTGGGGGTGCTGAGCGTGTGGGTGCTACGCCTGGGGGTGCTGAGCCTGAGGGTGCTACTACTGGGGGTGCTGAGCCTGGGGGTGCTACTACTGGGGGTGCTGAGCCTGGGGGTGCTGAGCCTGGGGGTGCTGAGCCTGGGGGTGCTACGCCTGGAGGTGCTGAGCCTGGGGGTGCGGAGCCTGAGGGAGCTGGGCCTGCTCGTGTGGCGTCTGGCGGTGTTGAGCCTGGAGGTTCTCCGGGTGCTTCGTCTCGGCGGGAGCCACTCTCTCCACAGGAGCTGCGCGAGTGGTTTGCCCGGCGCTGGAGGCGTGCTGCTGGAGCTGGTGGTTCTTCGGCTGCTGAGGGTGCTGGTGCCGCGGGTCCCGGAGGTGCTCGTACTGGGAGTACTGGTTCTGCTGGGCCTGCGGGTATGACTGGAGCTGGAGCTGCTGAGGGTGATGACGCTGAGGCTACTGCTGTCGGTCCTGGAGGCGGTCCTGCTGGGGGTGCTACTGGTGCTGCTGGAGGTACTGGAGCTGGAGGTGCTGCTGGCGCTGGTGCTGCCGCTGGGGGTACTGGTGCTGTCCCTGCTGTGTCTGGAGTCACCGCGCGGCCTCGGCCGTACTTCGTTCCGCTCCTTCAGCAGGTTCTTGGTCTCCCGCCTTCTACTGGTCCTCCTCCTCCCTTAGAGTGTCCACAGCCTGTCCCGT